ACTGAAAAGCCAAAAAGTCAGTGCTCATAATTTAGTTGGCTCAAGTTTGTTGGGGGTGCGGGATGGAATGTTGGAAGGTCTCCCCTCCCCTTTTTTTCCATGACCGCAAAGCCTACTTTACCTTAAATTATCCCCCACACAATATAATCTTTTAGTGTGATAGCTGATGGCTAAAGTTTTTATCACAGTGAAGTGGAAATCTTTAGCACTTCTAATATTTAAGAACTGGATAGTAGAAAAAGTGGCTTTAAAAACCAAGTAAAGCAGGATATATAAACTATTATAAGATGAAATTGTGATTCTACTGTTGCTTTCATGTGGGAACCTTAACTAAATATAGAGGATTAGCTTGTGCAGTAACAAATGAATAGAGATTTTTATTTAGCCACATGAAAAATGGTAGATTTGGTGGCAGACTGGTAGAGAAAAGGAAAATAAAAACCTGCAGTGAAATTAACTCTAAAAAAAGGAATGTGAGCAGCAGAAGAGTGCTTCTCTACAGTGCTATTTCAAAATGTTAAGTGATTTCATGCTAGCAAAAGATACCAACTTCAGGCCTGGAATAATAAACTCTATTTACCTACAGCGAAGGCACAGCCCAGGCAGAGCAAGCAGCCCCTCCCCAACCAGGGATTTTCAAGCTGTCTCACCTCCATCATAATGGACCATTTCTGGGGGACAGGAGAGGGAGTTCAGCCTCCGTTGCCCCAGTCATGCAGATGCTGAACTTCAGGCATATAAGTCATCCCATGGACTTTAATGGGACTAATCATCTGTGTTAACTGTCTGCATAAGGAGCCCATGATTGTTTCACTGTTACCTTGTCCTCACCCTTATTTGTTTGTCCATCTCCACCTGTTGTTTCCCATCTGGGTTGTCAGGTCTTTGGAGAAAGAGACTCTTTAGTGTATATGTGTACAGTGCACAGCACAATAGGGCCCTGATCCTGATTAGGGCCCCTAGATGCTGCCACGTATCAAATAAGAAACAAAATTTGAACAAATTTAATATTATCACTGTCAGTCCAGTCCTTACTATCTCTTCTGATACTACTAGTAAAATGCACAATGCAGATGATGGTTTTCAAACTTGATTTAATGGGAGGCAGTATGGCCTAGCGGCAGAGCACTGAGCTGGGAATAGAACCCAGGTTTCCTGCCATCAGCCCACTGAGTGACCTTGAGCATGTCACTGTCCCTTGCTGTGCCTCCATTTCCCCATCTCCAAACTGGGGGCAATAAGACCCACTTCCTTTATAAAGCATTTTGAGATCTACTGATGAAAAGTGCTATTATAAGAGCTAGGTATTAATTTAAAGAAAGCTCAGAGAAGTGAATGCACAGTTTAGCTAAAAATACACACCTCCCACTTAAGTAGTAGTAATAAGCATTTAATACATGATAAAGCATGTATTCTTGCTGCCAAGTTAAAGAAGTATGGGCTGGATGAATGGACTGTAAGGTGGACAGAAAGCTGGCTAGATCGTCGGGCTCAACGGGTAGTGATCAATGGCTCCATGTCTAGTTGGCAGCCAGTTTCAAGCGGAGTGCCCCAAGGGTCGGTCCTGGGGCCGGTTTTGTTTAATATCTTTATTAATGATCTGGAGGATGGTGTGGACTGCACTCTCAGCAAGTTTGCCGATGACACTAAACTAGGAGGCGTGGTAGATACACTAGAGGGTAGGGATCGGATACAGAGGGACCTAGACAAATTAGAGGATTGGGCCAAAAGAAACCTGATGAGGTTCAACAAGGACAAGTGCAGAGTCCTGCACTTAGGACGGAAGAATCCCATGCACAGCTACAGACTAGGGACCGAATGGCTAGGTAGCAGTTCTGCAGAAAAGGACCTAGGGGTTACAGTGGACGAGAAGCTGGATATGAGTCAACAGTGTGCTCTTGTTGCCAAGAAGGCTAACGGCATTTTGGGCTGTATAAGTAGGGGCATTGCCAGCAGATCGAGGGACGTGATCGTTCCCCTTTATTCGACATTGGTGAGGCCTCATCTGGAGTACTGTGTCCAGTTTTGGGCCCCACACTACAAGAAGGATGTGGAAAAATTGGAAAGAGTCCAGCGGAGGGCAACAAAAATGATTAGGGGTCTGGAGCGCATGACTTATGAGGAGAGGCTGAGGGAACTGGGATTGTTTAGTCTCCAGAAGAGAAGAATGAGGGGGGATTTGATAGCAGCCTTCAACTACCTGAAGGGGGGTTCCAAAGAGGATGGAACTCGGCTGTTCTCAATGGTGGCATATGACAGAACAAGAGCAATGGTCTCAAGTTGCAGTGGGGGAGGTCTAGGTTGGATATTAGGAAAGACTATTTCACTAGGAGGGTGGTGAAGCACTGGAATGCGTTACCTAGGGAAGTGGTGGAGTCTCCTTCCTTGGAGGTTTTTAAGGCCCGGCTTGACAAAGCCCTGGCTGGGATGATTTAGTTGGGAATTGGTCCTGTTTTGAGCAGGGGGTTGGACTAGATGACCTCCTGAGGTCCCTTCCAACCCTGATATTCTATGATTCTATGAGAGCTATAGATGAATTGCATTTATTAGGAGCTTTGACTGCCTCAGCTGCACTCTGCCCCAATCTATCAGACCTTTAATATTCAACTTCTCTGAGCAGCTTTCAAACAGCCATTATATTTTTGAAGAAAAAATTAATAAAACCTGCCAGATAAATATTTATTGACTTTCTCAAGGGTGGAATTTCTCTCCCAAAATTAAACTGGTCTATGGCCCAGGATGGGCAATTTTCAGTCCAGGAGTAACTTCAGTAGCAGGCTAATTGGTTGAAACTATAATAAGGAACAGAGTCATTAGACACATAGATGAACACAATATGCTGTGGAAGAGTCAACACAGCTTTTGAAAAGGGAAATAATGCCTCATCAATTTATTAGAATTCTTTGAGGTGGTCAATAACTATGTTGATAAGGGTGATCCAGTGGATATAGTGTCAAAGACTTTCCGAAAGTCCAAGTACAAGGTCCAACACCAAAGGCTCTTAAGCAAGGTAAGCAGCCATGGGATAAGAGGGAAGGGTCTCTCATGGATCAATAACTGGTTATAAGGCAGAAAACAAAGAGTAGGAATAAAAGGTCAGTTTTCACAGTGGAGAGAGGTATAGCGGGGTCTCCCAGGCATCTGTACTGGGATCACTGCGGTTCAACATATTCATCAATGATCTGGAAAAAGGGGTAAACAGTGAGGCAGCAAAGTTTACAGATGATACAAAATTACTCAGTCTAAATAAGTCCAAAGCAGACTGCAAAGAGTTACAAAGGGATCTCATAAAACTGAATGACTGGGCAACGAACTGACAGACAAAATTCAATATTGATAAATGCAAAGTAAGGCATGTTGGAAAACACAATCCAACTATACGCACAAAACAATGGGGTCTACATAGTTGTTACCACTTAAGAAAGAGATCTTGGGAGTCATTGTGGATAGTTCTCTGAAAACATTTGCTCAGTGTGAAGCTGCAGTCAAAAAAGCTAACAGAATGTTAGCAACCATTAGGAAAAGAATACATAATAATTCAGAAAATATCATGCATATAAATCCATGACAGACCCACACCTTGAATATTGTGTGCAGTTCTGGTCACCTCATCTCAAAAAATGTATATTAGAATTGGAAAAGGTACAGAGAAGGGCAATAAAAATTATTAGGGGTCTGGAACAGCTTTCATATGAGGAGAGATTAAAAAGACTGGAACTATTCAGCTTGGAAAAGAGACCACTACGGGGGGATATGATAGAGCTGGGAAGGGGCGACAGGGAATGGATCACCTGATGATTACCTGTTCTGTTCGTTCCCTCTGGGGCACCTGGCATTGGCCACTGTTGGAAGACAGGATGCTAGGCTAGAGGGACCTTTGGTCTGACCCAGTATGGCCATTCTTATGTTAGGTCTATAAAATCATGAATGGTGCGGAGAAAGTGAATACTTTACTCCTTCACATAACACAAGAACCAGGGGGTCACACAATGAAATTAATAGTCAACAGGGTTTTTTTAAAAAAGGAAGTACTACTTCACACAATGCAGAGTCAACCAGTGGAACTCATTGCCATGGGATGCTGTGAAAGCCAAAAGTATAAATGAATTAAAAAAATTAGATCAGTTTATGGAGAATAGGTCCATCAGTGGCTATTAGCCAAGATGGTCAGGGGTGCAACTCCATGTGCTGGGTGGCCCTAGGAATCTGACTGAGAGATGCTGGGATTGGACCACAGCGAATGGATTTCTTGATGGTTGCCCTATTCATTCTCTTTGAAGCATCCGGCATTGGCCACTGTCGGAAGACAGGATACTAGACAAGATGGACCTTTGGTGTGACTTGGTGATCACCATTCTTATGTTCTTAGGCCCACTGCCAGGTATAAGGTCTGACATCTTGCTACCCATCAGAGCTCTATATCAGAAAACTGGGAATGCTTCTAACCCAGTTGTACAGGAGAATCACTTCCAGGCCTGGAGCCCAGCAGCCCTCCCCTTCCCAGCAGTGGCTGGAGGCAGAGTGAATGGCACGTAGCCATGGAGCACAGAGTGGCTGAGGAGCCCCAGTGGCGGCTGCCCAATGGCTGAGGCACCACTGGACAGACAGTGACTGGAGCCGAGGGCGGGGTGGCCAGTGAGTCCATGCCCTTATCTAAAGACGTGTGGCTTCCAGGGGGGCTTTGCAGGCCAGTCACAAAGCATTGCCCTGTCCCCCAGCTCCACGGGCACTGATCCCTCCACGGGCACCCCTGCGTGCAGGCTGGGTGGTGCCCCGGGCTTTGGCAGGGGCTGGCCAGCCCATCCCGGGAGCAGGCCCCGCGCTGCCCCGAAGGGCAGGGCTTGCAACAGAGCTAGGTAGCTGCGCGGCGCGGGGGCAGAGTCGCCGGGACAAGCCCGCCCCCAGCCGCCGCTCCACCAGCTGGGCGGGCGCCGGCCGCGGCCAGGTGAGGCGGCCCCGCCCCGTCTCCCGGCCCGGGCGGCAGCAGGTGAGCGGCGAGTATGGCGGACTCCCAGCTGATCTGCCTGGACGACACGCACGTGAACGAGAAGGTGACCGAGGCCCAGGCCAGGTTCTACTACAGCGAGGAGCAGCGCCGAGCGCTGCAGGGGCTGGTCGCCAACGGCGAGAAGGACTACCGGGAGCAGCTGCAGAAGGGGCAGCTGCGGGACTTCCTCTCCAGCCGCGAGCTGCGAGCCCTGCCGGACTGCTGGCGCCGCTACGATGCGCACTTGGAGGGCGGCGGGGCCGGCGGCGAAGGCGTCTCGCTGGCCTACTGGCCGGAGTGCTCCGACACGGAGGTGCCGCCGCTGGACTTGGGCTGGACGGACAAGAACTTTTACCGGGGCATCAGCCGGGTGAGTCTCTTCACCCACCCCAAGAAGGAGGAGAACGCGCCGCACCTCAAACAGGTCATTCGGGAGATGATCCAGCGGGCACAGAGGGTAGGTGTGTCCCCTCCCCCCGCTCACTTCATCACCCCAAAGCACTGGGAGTGGGTCCTTCCCCCCTGCGGGCTGCGGCACTCACACGCTCCCACCGCCTCCTGCGGAAGCGGATCTGCTCAGTGGCTTGTTTCCATTGAGTTCCTCTTCTCAGAGGGCAGCAGCACTTAACTTCGCCATCCACTGAGCCAGTTTTCTCGCACCTCCTGTGAAGAGTGTGAATACTGCAGGAACAGGCGCTGTCCCATAGGCAGATAGAGCCTCACTGTAAAGGATTCTGAGAAGGAGCTTGAACTTGAGGGTTATCATGGATGGAAAAAGCGGAGGGGAAAACACCCCACCATCACCACCCCAACAATAAATAGATTTTCTTTCCTTGCTGTGTCAAATAGGAGACAAAAACAACAAGGAGTCCGGTGGCACCTTAAAGACTAATGCATCTGAAGAAGTAGGTTTTTTACCAACGAAAGCTTATGCCCAAATATATCTGTTAGTCTTTAAGGTGCCACCGGACTGCTCCTTGTTTTTGTGGATACAGACTAACACGGCTACCCCCTGATACTTGACACCATGCAAGGCAAATAGGAGACAGTTAACTATGCCCCCCCCCCCCTATCTATAACCTACTAATGTCCTATCCAGCATCTTTACTGCTAATCAAAATATAAGTTTTGCCAAAGTGACTCCATCAAGAATCTATGTCCAGGACTGGATACCCCATTGCTAATGGGGTTTTATATCCGCTGCCCATTTTGTACTGTCAGTTTGAGTCAGTGGCTCAGACAATCACATATTTTGAGTCTGTTTCAATTGTCTTTCTCTCATATATAGGTAAAACTATTTAAACTCTGTAAATTTAGATAGATTCGTTTGTTGATGGATTTCTAAATCTATAGTTTAGTGGTTGAATGCTCTCTTAATCCAGTCTTGATTGCTAAACAGTTGGATTTGAGCCAATACATAGCTGAATTTATCTTTTGGGGGCAGAGAACTGTTGTTAATGACGTACTTCTCTGCCACGAAGACAAACCAATAGGAAGATTCCAAAAGTTTGCATGGAACACGTATATATCAAGAGTATTTCTCATGTCAGCTGAGCTGAGGCTTCCAGGAAAGAGATTCCACTTAAAATGGCTTCTCTTCTTGCACAGGTTTCCGTTGGTGTTGGCACTTTCAAAGGTGGCAAATGGGAAGGCTACTTGATCCCTCCCCTTCCTGCTGCTTTCTGTGGGTAATGGAAGCCATTTGTGTCTCCCCATATACACACACCTCTCACAAAGATTTTCACTATGAATCTGCTAGGTGAGATAGGATAGGAAGCAGTTTTCTGAAAAGATTCCCTCTTCAAACTACATATTCCCTTTCTCCCCTGACCCCTTTCACTCACTTTGAATAATGAAGGCCTAATTAATTGTTCACCTGCACCTTATGTAGTCACACACCAATGCAAAGTGGCTGTGAAATGTTTTTATTCTGAGTTAGTAGCATTTTACATCTATTTTGCATCCACTTTGCACTGGTGTAAATGTCTAGACAAAGGACAGGGTGGTGAGGAATTGGGCTGTTTCAGCATCTGTGCCTGAAGGCCAAAAGTTGCTGGGGTTTGTTTGTTTTTTTTGGTTTTGCTGACTTGGAGAAACTGAAAAACCTGTGCCACTCCCAGTTGGAAGGTGATTGCATGTTAAACACCCATTGAACATTTACTGACCCTATTTAGATAAATCTGCCTGTTATGTTCATGTGAGCTGACCTAGAGAGCATTGTTGTAGCCATGTTGGTCCCGAATATTAGAGACAGCAGGTGAAGTAATATTTTTTTATTGGACCACTTTCTGTTGGTGAGAGAGACACGCTTTCGAGCTACACAGAGCTCCTCTTCAGGTCTGGGAAAGGTACTCAGAGTGTCACAGCTCTGGTGGAACAGCTTGCTTAGATACTCCGAGAGAACCTACTTCAATACAGGGGGGGAAAACCCTCTGTCACCCCTAATTGTCACCCTCCACCCCACACTGGAACCCATATCGGGTATCATTAAACAATTACAATCTATACTCAATGGGAACCACATCCTGAAAGAAATTTTTCCCAAGGCCCCCCCCTTCTGGCCTTCTAACAACTCACCAAGCTTCTCAGAAGCAAGCTCACCACAGACCAGGACCCAGAGCACCACCAGACCTTGCCAGAACATCTGCAGGTTTTGCATCTGTTATATCTCCACCACTACAATGACCAGTACCCCCCACATCACACCTTTCAAGATCCGTGGGTCCTACGTGTGTCTATCATAACGTGGTGTACCTCATGCAGTGCACTAAATGCCCCCAAAACAACTATGTGGATGAAACCAGATAATCACTATGCTCTCAAATGAACTTTTTGCACAGAAAAATGATAAAAGATTAAAATACCAATTACCCATGGGCGAACACTTTTCACAAAATGATCACTCCATGTCTGACCCCTCAGTCCTTGTCCTCAAAGGAAACCTGCAAAACACCTTCAACACCAGCTTTAACATGAAATATATGGCAGAATGCAGGTAAAACAGAGAGCCAGAGACATACAATTCTCCCCCAAGGAGTTCAGTCACTAATTTAATAGAGTGACATCGTTCTCCCACTACGAGAAAGGGACCAAGTGACCTTCTCCGTTGGATCATATGAACTGGAACCATAAACTCCCTAAACACTAAATCTCACCAAATGAGGGTCAGTCCATCCTCATCATCATATCCACTCATTATTATCCACACCCGAACATAGCCACTTTATGAACTTCATACCCTCATATCTCAATGTCTGTACTTTGACCCATCAACCTTTTACCCCCAATCGGGGATATTGCAGATTATGTATTCCTCATGCCACCTTACCTTAAACCAAACTTTGCACCCTCGATAATCTGTATGTTATTCCCTGATAACCAGAAACTTCTATGCTCAAACTCTGTTCACAATTTATTTTTAACATCATCTTAATAAAATTTTTAAATGCATTATTTGTTATAACGAGCATCATCAACATAGAAGTCTGTCCTCTGGAATGGTGGTGAAGCATGACGAGGCATATGAATGTTTAGCATATCTGGCACGTAAATACCTTGCAATGCTGGTTACAAAAGTGCCATGCGAACGCCTGTTCTCACTTTCAGGTGATGTAAATAAGAAACAGGTAGCATTATCTCCTGTAAATGTAAACAAACTTGTTTGTCTTAGCAATTGGCTGAACAAGAAGTAGGATTGAGTGGAATTGTAGGCTCTAAAGTTTTACATTGTTTTGTTTTTGAGTGCAGTTATGTAACAAAACAAAAAAAAATCTACATTTATAAGTTACACTTTCACAAGAAAGAGATTGCACTACAGTACTTCCAGGAGATGAATTGCAAAATACTATTTCTTTTGTTTATCATTTTTACAGTGCAAATATTTAATAAAAAATAATGATATAAAGTGAGCACTGTACACTTTATATTCTGTGTTGTAATTGAAATCAATATATTTGAAAATGTAGAAAAACATCCAAAAAATTTTAATAAATTTCAATTGGTATTCTATTGTTTAAGAGCGCAATTAAAACTGTGATTAATTGAGATTCATTTTTTTAATCACGATTAATTTTTTTTTTTTAGTTAATCGCATGAGTTAACTGCGATTAATCGACAGTCCTACTGTTAACAAATGGTGTTTGGACTCAGCAGCACTCCCAGGCCCCAGGGGAATGAGCTGCCCAAACAAGGAGTGTGTGTGGCAGCATAGAGTACTTGCCCTCTGGCTACAGGCTTGTACCTGCAACACTCCATTTCTGCTGGGAAGTCAGAGAACCAAGCTGGAACGTGGGCCCAGCTTTTCTGCATAGAAGTAATCATTAGAGTCTAGTCCAGTGTTTCTCAAGTGCGGCCATGACAGCCTCCTGGGCGTTGATGGAGGGTGGGGGGGAATATCTCTTCCCCTCCCTCCCTCCCTTCCTGTTGCTCCTGCATGCGCTGCCCTGCAGCACCTCTGGAGACAGGTGGGGCACAATGCTGCAGAAGCAAGGTGAGTTCTCGATCCACCTGCGGGGAGGGGCGAGGCTCGGGGACTCGGGCTTCAGCCCTGCGGTGATTGGGCACCCCAAACCCCTTATCCCTGGCCCCACCCCAGAGCCTGCACCCCCAGCTGGAGCCCTCACACCCCTGCACCCCAACCCTCTGCCCCAACCCTGAGCCCCCTCGCACACTCCGAACCCCTCAGCCCCACCCCCACCACATGAATTTTGTTATGTGCACCAATATGAAGATGATGTCACACATCACCTCCATATTGGTGCACATAACAAAATTCATTCCGCATATGGGGTGGGGAGCGGAGCAGCGGCGGCGGCGCACTCTGGGGAGGAGGCGGAGATGAGCTGGAGCGGGGAGCGGTTCCTCTGTGCCCGCCCGTTACTCGCTGCGGCCCTCCCTGGGGCCCCCCTGCCCCAGCTCACCTCCGCTCCATCTCCTCCCGCGAGCGCGCCGCAGCTCCGCTTCTCCCCCCTCCCTCCCAGGCTTGCTGCGCCAATCAGCAAGCCTGGGAGGGAGGAGAAGCGGAGCTGAGCATTTATTTATTCTTTTATGTAGAGACTGGGGAAAAGCGGAGCTGTGGCGCGCTTGCGGGAGGAGGCGGAGCGGAGATGAGCTGGGGGGGCCCCGGGGAGGGCCGCAGCAAGTAACGGGGGGCGCAGATGAACCGCTTGCGGTAACACAAATTCGGATATGACGAGGTAAAGCAGCCCCGTCCCCCGGAGCACTGCTTTACCGCGTTATATCCGAATTCGCGTTATATCAGACCACATTATATCGGGGTAGAGGTGTACTATTAACCACAGCATGTAGACTTACTCAACAGGTGTAATTGACAAGTTTGGTTAAAACTGAAGCAGCAATTGGCAGGCTGTCTAACCTAGGGCGCAGAATGTTATTAATACTGGAGCTAAATCAGTGTCCACAACTGTGAGAGATTTGTAAAATGTTTCCCTATTATTAGCAGGACTGATGATAGCCAGGCATTGAGAGACTAGGAATGAAATCTAGGTCCTCTGCATGATGGCACATAGCACTAACTCTTCTCCCCCTCCCCCCAGCAGGTGAACTTTGGCTTCACCTTTGCACCAGGAACTCCAGCCCAGGTCCTATCTGATGACAGGGCAGTGTTCTGCCACTAGCTGGCCATATTTGGCCCCATGTCACAGAGGTGGTTGTGTGTATAGCTTATTCACTCTCTAATCACTGATCACCTGTGGCAAATACATGTAGCTAAGTATGCTGGAAGCTGTCTCTCTTTTAAGAAAATGCTGTGTAATCCTCTGCTAACAGAACGGGTCTGGTGAAGCAATGGTCTTTGGCAGTGGTAAGTCCCTGTCTGTATGGTGAGGAAAAAGAGAGTCTGCCAATTCTTTGCTTCAGTCTTCATTGCTGAGGATGTTGGGGAGATTCCCAAACCTGAGCTGTCCTTTGTAGGTGACAAATCTGAAGAATTGTCACAGATTGAAGTGTCACTAGAGGAGGTTTTGGAATTAATTGATAAACTTAACAGTAACAAGTCATCGGGACCAGATGGCATTCACCCAAGAGTTCTGAAAGAACTCAAATGTGAAATTGCGGAACTATTAACTATGGTTCTTTGAAGGAGTCAACAAACATGTGGACAAGGGGGATCTAGTGGACATAGTGTACTTAGATTTCCAGAAAGCCTTTGACAAGGTCCCTCACTAAAGGTTCTTACGTAAATTAAGTTGTCATGGGATAAGAGGGAAGATCCTTTCATGGATTGAGAACTGGTTAAAGGACAGGGAATAAAGGGTAGGAATAAATGGTAAATTTTCAGAATGGAGAGGGGTAACTAGTGGTGTTCCCCAAGGGTCAGTCCTAGGACCAATCCTATTCAACTTATTCATAAATGATCTGGAGAAAGGGGTAAACATTGAGGTGGCAAAGTTTGCAGACGATACTAAACTGCTCAAGATAGTTAAGACCAAAGCAGACTGTGAAGAATTTCAAAAAAGATCTCACAAAACTAAGTGATTGGGCAACAAAATGGCAAATGAAATTTAATGTGGATAAATGTAAAGTAATGCACATTGGAAAAAATAACCCCAACTATACATACAATATGATGGGGGCTAATTTAGCTACAACTAATCAGGAAAGAGATCTTGGAGTCATCATGGATAGTTCTCTGAAGATGTCCACGCAGTGTGCGGCGGCAGTCAAAAAAGCAAACAGGATGTTAGGAATCATTAAAAAAGGGATAGAGAATAAGATGGAGAATACCTTATTGCCCTTATATAAATAGATGGTACGCCCACATCTTGAATACTGCGTACAGATGTGGTCTCCTCATCTCAAAAAAGATATACTGGCATTAGAAAAAGTTCAGAAAAGGGCAACTAAAATGATTAGGGCGTTGGAATGGGTCCCATATGCGGAGAGATTAAAGAGGCTAGGACTTTTCAGCTTGGAAAAGAGGAGACTAAGGGTACGTCTACACTTACCGGAGGGTCCGGCGGCAGGCAATTGATGTTCTGGGATCGATCCCGGAACTGCTCGCCGTCGACGCCGGTACTCCAGCTTGCCGAGAGGAGTACGCGGCATCGACGGGGGAGCCTGCCTGCTGCGTCTGGACCCGCGGTAAGTTCGGACTAAGGTACTTCAAATTCAGCTACGTTATTAACGTAGCTGAATTTGCGTACCTTAGTCCGAAGTGGGGGGGTAGTGTGGACCAGGCCTAAGGGGGGATATGATAGAGGTATATAAAATCATGAGTGGTGTGGAGAAAGTGAATAAGGAAAAGTGATTTACTTGTTCCCATAATATAAGAACTAGGGGCCACCAATGAAATTAATGGGCAGCAGGTTTAAAACAAATAAAAGGAAGTTCTTCTTCACATAGTGCACAGTCAACCTGTGGAACTCCTTGCCTGAGGAGGTAGTGAAGGCTAGGACTATAACAGGGTTTAAAAGAGAACTAGATAAATTCATGGACATTAAGTCCATTATTGGCTATTAGCCAGGATGGGTAAGGAATGGTGTCCCTAGTCTCTGTTTGTCAGAGGGTGGAGATGGATGGCAGGAGAGAGATCACTTGATCATTACCTGTTAGGTTCACTCCCTCTGGGGCACCTGGCATTGGCCACTGTTGGTAGACAGGATACTGGGCTGGATGGACCTTTGGTCTGCCCAGTATGGCCGTTCTTATGCTGTGGCATGGTTTGGAGCATACAAGGGCAATCTCTTTCCCAGATTCAGTTTGCCTCTCTAGTGAGGATTATTTACCTTGCTGTAGTTAATACCCCTTGAAACCTGAGTTGGGCCCCTTCCAACCTTCAGCTGAAGGAAAGGGGCTCTTCTCTGCACTGAGCTGGGACCCATACTGCCTGATTGGTTTTTAAAAGAGTTTAAAATAGTTTCATGCTACCTCTGTTTAACACAATGCGGCTGGCCATTGTGAATGGCGCCCATGGAATTTAAACTTTATACAGACAACTCTGTTCCCAGCCTAGTGTAGGCAGGGGCCCTCTGACTGCCCAAGTTTACATGCCCACTGTAAATGAATGAGACTAGGAAAGCAGCAGCTTCCTGTGGTGATTCATTCACAGCCTTCCAAAGGCTGGGTAAAGTCTTTCAGGAGGAAGAGGCAAGTTGGGACTTGATATTTCTAGTGTTTTAAAAAGGGAGAATAGAGTAGGGTGTGGACCACAGAGAAAAGCCCTTTGAGATCACCTTCCTATATTGTAAAGGGTGCCAACAATCTTCTTGCTTTGTAATTACCTGTAACCACTGACTGTTCAGACTTTTGTGAGTTTAACAGCATGTTAATGTAGCTTTTTCCATTGTTTTTTTATAAAGTCTGTGTTGGAAAAATGTATCCTGTTGGGCATTTAAAGTGAAAGGGGGTGGGGAGGATACTTGTAGCACCAACAAATGCAGAACAGAATGCCAAACCATCTCTGTTGTTATAAATATGAGCAGGTATGTTTGAACCCCATAGGTCAGATATAGATATGCATTCCTTGTGAACCCAGCCCAGGTAGGAGAGTTCTCAGGGGAATCTGTGGAACTGAAAAACAAAATCCCCCTTCTCCACACACCCTTAGTATTCTGTCTCCTCTGCCCACAATTTCTCGGGCCCCTTGTGCTGAGCAGGTGAACCTTGGTTTTCCAGGGTCTCTTCACATATAGGTAAATCACTGTGAGACACACGTGGTGGAGAGGTCTCACAGTGGAGATGAAAACTGGGCAGCTGGCTTTGTTGTTCTTCAAGCCTCTGATTAATATGCAGCATTCCCTGGAAATGACAAGAGAGCTCCCAACAAGAACTAACAAACTCTTTCCATGTACATGTGCAGGCATTGGGAGCCATGCCATGAAGTAATGAGGTTACTAAATTGTGTTCAGGCATGTGTTTCTCTCACGGTTTAGTCTGCCTTTGAGTATACTCTCTACCCATCTGGCCTGGCACCCATACCCTTTTGTTTTATATTAGTGCGTTTGCATGTCCCCATCTCACCCCTATCTCTAATACTGTATTTTACTTGCCTCTCTTTCTGCCTGATCCTTGCTTCCAGATCATTGCAGTGGTAATGGATCTGTTTACAGACCGGGACATCTTCCAGGATATTGTGGACGCAGCATACAAGCGCCGGATCCCAGTCTATATAATCCTAGATGAGGAGGGTGTGAAGTTCTTCCTGGAGATGTGCAAGTGTATGAATCTCAATAGCTTCCAGATCCAGGTAAGATACTGTGATACAATGGAGGCCCTGTCTACGCTACAGATGTTCCGCTGTAATGCCCAAGTGTAGACACTTCCTACGTCGACAAAAGGGGATTTTTTTGTTAATATAGTTCATTTTTTCAAGAAGCAGTAGCTAGGTTGACTGAAGAATTCTTCCTTCGACTTAGCCATGTTTACACTGGAGATTAGGCCAACCTAACTATGGTGTTAAGGGTGTAAAATTTTTCACGGCTCTGAATGATGTAGCCTGGTCGATTTAACTTTTCAGTATAGATCAGGCGAAAGCTTAAAGGGCCTTTGTGTCTCCAGAAGGGGGCTGAGCTGCTGCAGTTCTGGGGTGGATCAGAGATTGTTTGGATGGACAACTGAGTCCCTTCTAGCTGCAATGTGCTCTGATTGGCAGAGGGGAGCTGGGGACTGGAGCCATATTGGAAAGCAGGAGAGTAAGAAAATGGTTTTTTGGTGCTGAGTGGAGCAGGAGAAGACAGAGGAATGACCTTAGAGGGGGAGCTCTGAGTAGGAAGGGGCCTGAGGAGGGTTTGTGCCTGACTGACCTAAGCATCCCTGATTGGAGAGAACTTTGTCATGGAGAATCATGTGCCTCTGGAGCAGGGATTCCAGCTGATCTAGAACCGAAAGGTCTCAGTCATTCTCCGACTCTTATTTGGGCCTGTCAATTTTGTTTGTCTGACTGTCATCTAATTCTGTCTCGTTACTTTACTGAACTCACTTCTATTATCTCAGCCAGACTGGGACTAAAGCTCCCTGCTAATTTTGTGACCCCAATATGTGTGTGAGTGTTTTTCCTGGGTGAAGGCATTGCATGGGAGGTACCCCGGAGGCTCTCCTAATGGGAGTGCCTACAGAGCTTGCCTCCAGGGTTTGTGGGTAGAGATCACTAATTTTTGTGCACCACTGCTCAGGCCTATATGCACCAAGATGGTGTCAGTTACAGTATGTTCATGTACCGGTGTCACAGAACTGGAATAAGGGTCTGAGTCTAGTCTACCTGCTGAGGATTAGTGGCTAAGCAGTAGGAAAATTTTCACCTTAAAGAGAGAGAGAGACAGAAAGGTCCCCTCCATGTACATACCATAACCCGCTGTGAGGCCATGACCAGCCTGCAGGGCCGGCTCCAGGCACCAGCATTCCAAGCAGGTGCTTGGGGTGGAATCTGCAAGGGGCGGCAGTCCATGTGTTTTTGCCGCTCCATGCAGCGCGCCGAATTGCCGCCGTGGACGGTGGGGGCGGTCCGTGTGCCGTTAGGGCGGCACGCGCATTTCCGCAGTGGCGGCAATTCGGCGGCAGCTTCTATGTTCAGCTGCCCGCGGTGGCAATTCGGCGGCTTCTGTCTCCCGGCTGAAGACAGAAGCTGCCGCCGAATTGCCGCCGCCACGGAAACACGCGTGCCGCCCTAACAGCACACGGACAGCCCCCGCCGTCCGTGGCGGCAATTCGTCGCGCTGCTTGGGGCGGCAAAAACAGTAGAGCCGGCCCTGCCAGCCTGCTTTGATTCCTAGCAGGAAAGCATTGGTCATTGCTCAGGGTGAAAACCAGATCTCCTTTGGTTGAAGTAATTGCAAAGCGAATTCAAATACAAAGAATATGATTTTCTGAAGCCTGAGTGTGGTGGATAAAAACAAGGCTTCTGCAACCAGAGGTTTCTAAATGGATACAAAGTGGAGGGCTGCTTCTAGCTGAGGTCTAGACTTGTCCTCTGCTTTTTTTTTTTTTTCTTCAAAAAGTGTTTAACGGCTACACTCCCCTTTTATACTTAGCTTCCTGCTGCCATTGGGGGAGACTTCAATACTTGAGTTCAGCCTTATTCCCCCATGAGTGGGCTTCACTGCCAGCCTTGCAATGAAGTCAGACCTCTGTTGATCTCCTTCTCAGGGATAGTAGTTTTTACTTTCACCCAGCTAAATAGCAGGTACCCATATCCCCTTTTGCTGGGTTTCCCTCAGATCTTACAGGTTAAGCAGGATCAAGCTAGATCAGTACTTGAATGGGAGACCTTCAAGGAACACCGGCGTTCTGCAAGAAGTTGTGGTGCTAATAACTGAATAGATGGCACTTTCCCCTGTGTTCACATTGAACTAAGGTCCTGGCATGGTAAGATGGGGTGGTCTGCTGCTGGAAGTGCCATCTTCCAAGTGAGCTGTAACACCAAGAGGTTGATTAGTTGCAATCATTAAATGATCCCATAGCACTCTGATTTTTTTTAAAAACGCTTAAGAACTGTTCTGTCCATATTTTAATTTAGGTAATTGCACTCTGCTTCACCTGGATATCGTATTCTTTCTCTTAGGGTACATTTACATTTGAACTGGGAGGTGTGATTCCTAGCTTAGGGGTTAGCACCTAGAAATAGCAGTGTGTCCACAGCAGCTCAGGCTAGTCGCCTAAGTACATACCCAGGGAGTTGGGCGAGATTGTACTTGGGGCAGCTAACTTGAGAGGCCACCTAGGCTGCTGCCGACACACTGCTATTTGTAAGTGCTAGCTTGATCAGAGCTAGCATGGATACGTCTGCACAAGCTGGGAATCACACCTCCCAGCTCAAATGTAGACATACCCTTAAGCTATTTAATAGCATGGTAGTGCTCCATCCTAGAGGTGAGTGCATTTCAGTGGAGGGATCCTGTTCCCTCTGTATAGTTTATTTATTCATCTTTAAATACCCTGAGATCTTTCAGAGTAAGAGACGACATAGAAATATAAGTTTTTGGAGGTAGTTGATGTGGTATATTCACTAAATCGCATGCTGTTTGTGTTTTCTGCACATGAAGCCATATCGATATATCTTTGTCTCTGCACTGTTAAAGGGTATTTGTGTGATTATTTTGTTGTATCTTTCTACTCCCTCTGTGCCCATGTAAAGAGTCATTTTTAGATCACAGTAATTAAAAGAAAATCAAATTTGACTTCTTTTTACCAAAAGCAGGAATTGCAATGTGCAAATCCAGTGAAACCTCCACTTTCTAAATACTGTTGTAACACGTCTGGCTTTGTGCTCACACAGACTGCTCTCAGTAGACAGATTGCTTCCTGGTAAAGAAGTCACATAACCTCTTGTACCTTTTTTGGACTGATTTGAAAAAATGAGGTAATTCTGTTTGCAGATCATGGGCTATTGACTGGGATACAGCAAAATCCAGGTTGGTTAAATAGAAAAAGATCTTCAGTGGAAAACCAGATGGATAAAAATGTTATAATAAACACCAAACAGGACACCCTGCTTCTGATGTGCTCTCCCTGACCTGCATTCAGCATCCCACACACATGACTCACTATGAGGCCTTGAGCTAGTCACTTTGACTTTTTCAGGTTCCCCATCCGTGACATAGAGTAGTAATACTTATAGGGGTATTGTGATGGTTAATTAGCTAATGTCTGCACGGCACTTCAAACATACCAAGTAGTATATGATTGCAAGTATTATAATTTATTATTAGTCAGAATTTGTACTGACACTTCAGCATTTCTATTGAACAGATTAAATACAATAGATATGATGAACAGATTAAAAATTACATATTATATTCAGAAAACTAGGATTTTAAAAGAATTCTGGATTCCTTTGGTCACAGTAAGTTCACCTATGGCTGGAAATCCAGTCTGGTACAGACAGGGCCACGTGGTTCTTTAAACATATGACATAGGTCTAATCAGCAGAGCACTTGTTTGTGTACTCAAATCTCTGTTCTTGTATGTTATGTGCAGACAGACATCTGACACTGAAAGGCATATAGCCTTAAGTCAGCATTTTTCTAGTCTACTTAGGACTTAAGTATAACTGACCCTTATACCACCAAATCTCTAAAAGAGGATTCTGTGGTCTGTCATGCCCGCTGATCTCTTTGCAGTGGCCAGTTAGATTTCTGAGATGCCTGGGAATCCTTCCCAACCCACTGGTAAGGGGAGGAGTTCTCTTACTGTAGCAGGAGGAGACTAGGAGGAAACCTCCATTATGGGGGGCCAGGGGAATCTCTCCTGTTGGAATGTTCCAGAAAATTGGGATGTTCTCTCCTCTTGTTGTCTCTGATAATAAAATTGTCCAGACTTTTAATTTCCCTCCTTTTACCAAGCTCTACTTTATCACTATGACAACACAAATGAGACCAGTGCCTGAGGCCTCCATTTCAGGTCTCCATTTCAGCCCCTTTAATTTAACACCAGGTGGATCTCCCTGTAGGAGAATCTCCCTTCCCCCATCCTCCCAGCATAGGAATATGCCAGGGTTAGGAATTTATGTGGCCACAATGCACTGTGCTCTAGCTAGTCTCGGCTGGCAGAGTGGCTTATGGGTGACTGGGGGTGGACCCAGGATTCAGAGAGTGCAAAAATGCCACTGTTGATTCACTCCCCCACCTGGGTTGGGTCTCCTGAGGCTGCAGCTCAGCATTGGGGACTGAGGATCATTTTCTTCCCTTAGATTTTGGAAGCTTTGTCCCACCTGCATTTTAGACTTCTGAGTGCTGGGACGAATAGGTGAATGGGGCAGGCAGAGTTGCAAGCACATTTAACCTATTGGACAGGCCTACAGATTGATGGAGGAGAGTGACCTGTATAGAAAATAAGTGACCAGCTGGGACAGACAGCAGAAGTACATTCTGCCTTGGATTATCCCTTCTGCAATCTTTCTGAGTTCTGTTGGCCAATGTGAAATAAGCTCTAGCATGGGATGAGGTGAGATGAGATGACTGGGGTGGTGGTGCCTGGAGCTGGGGGATTATCTGATTCTCTATATGCACGATTTGTTGTGATTTGTTTTTTCACCTTCCTGTTAGAACATCCGTGTACGTTTTGTGACGGGAGTTGGGTTCTATATGCCATCAGGGAAGATCAAAGGCACCTTAGCCTCCCGGTTCCTGATGGTGGATGGTGAACAAGTGGCCACTGGGTCCTACAGGTGGGTCACTCACCCAGGACATACCCATGTTCTTTGTATAAAGTCTACCCCATGCTTTACCTAGGAGAGGTAGGGAGCAGCCTCCTTCTTTTTTTATTCCTTAACAGTTGTCCAGTCCATTTCCTAGATAGGCTGCTGTGTCCAGTTGAGCTCTTTGTAGAAGTCTGATGTGCGATAGAGAACACAGAACTGACTTTTGGAGGATAGAGTATCTCTGTGTCAACACAACGTTCCACTGAATGAGAGAATTCCTCCTCCTCACCAACCAAAGGTCAAATGGGATTCCCCAGCATCCACTTTGGCCAGTTTGCTATCTAGAAGAGGTTAGCTGGGCAGTATTGAGAGCCCTCCTGCCAATTCAGCAACAGCAGGTTAAGTGTGGTTACCAGTGTCCTTGTCCAGATGGGGGAACTGTACTTTAAGGTCACACAGCTTTCTCTACCAGATTTGTCCACCTGTACAATAAAGAACAGACTTAAAAATATATACCATGCCACTCAAGTATCAAGTCAGATACTCATCACATGGTTGCAGAGCCATGTGTTTCTGAATGCTGAGAGTTCAGAGGTGGTCATTTGGGGGTTGGAGAGGTGTCAGGTCTCCCTATCTCCATGCAAAAATCTAACAGTGGCTTCTCTCTGCCAGTTTCACTTGGAGCTCATCCCACATCGACAGAAACATCCTCCTGTTGTTGACGGGGCAGAATGTGGAGATGTTTGACATAGAGTTTCGTGAGCTCTATGCCATCTCTGAGGAGGTCAATCTCTACAAGGAGCTGAACATTGCTAGCCCTTTTCATTCAGGAGCTGGGATATCGGAGTTTCGCTCCTCCACCGTGTCTCGTAAGATGATCAACCCCAAGTATGGTCTAGTGACAGGGGCTGCCCCTGGTGAAATGTTCTGGGCTTCGCGCCAGAGGCAGGAGGCACAGGGGAAACTGGAAAAGAATGAGGAGGAAAGTGAGTCAAAGAAGCGGCTGAATCAGTTTCTGAATGACTTGATCACGGTGGAGCAGGTGCTACCAGAAATTCTGCCACCTCTCGAGAACTTGGGGAGAGTGAACCGGAGTCCCCAGAGATTGTTCTCCTTCTTCCATCGGGATCCGAAACATAAGTCCAAATCCAGGGAGTCCATTCGTGACACCAAGAAGGATGAGGAGGCTGGCAGTTCTGTTGCCAACGGGGAAGCCAACTCCAAGCAGGGTAAGAGGTTTGGCAGCGAGTTTTTCAGCAGGAAAGCTAAACGTCCCCCAGTCATGAACACTGAGGCCAATTCTTTTGCCAGTGAGGGAATCTCAGGAGAAGAGTTTGAGATTGTGAAGACGACAGGTGAGGACCTGATCAGCTTCAGCCCTGTCAGCATTCGGAGTAGTGCGGGCACCTCAGGTAAACCTCCTCCACCACGGTTCCCCTGGGCTCCCCCAGTCCAGGCACGTGAGGGCAGCTCCAACCATTTCTTTTCCTCTCTGCCTTAAAATGACAAGGAGAGCAACTGAGGCCAATGAAACAAAATCATCTTGCAGGCATTTTTAAAGGGAAATTTTGTGAGACTCACACTTCTCATGTGACTTCCTCTGATGGTCTCGAGGTGGGGAGGGTGAATCTCTCTCTCATTCCCCACCTCCCCATGTAAAAAGGTTCCAGGCACAGGTACTTTGCTTCCCAGCTGAAGCAGCATTAGTGGTTCACAGCCCTCCTAGATGCTAGCAGAGAACCCTGTTGTACTTCAGGGACCCTATTGGCAGCGCACAGTTGCACAGACAGGTTTTAGATGTCTCCTACCAGCTAACCTATTCAGCTTTACTTGACTGGATATAGAGTTACTATGACAAGGTCATGGTGGGAGGGAATACAGAGTGGGGGAATCCTACATAATCTACTCCTTCTCCATCCCCCCCAATCAAACATTGGGGAGATCATCATGGAATTAGAACATAGGGACTTATCGCAACATGGCCATGATCAGTGCTTGCGACATGTCCTTTAGTGGCTTTGTCCAGGTTAGGTTTCAGTGACTCAAGTGAATTCAGAACTGGCAAATCCCCTTCACACACTAGTTCCTGAAAGGTTTAGATGTTGACAGACTGGAACAAAGCTATAGACTTTCCAGGCTAATCTCCCTCTTTGACAGTGACCCATGCTGGATGCTGTGGAGAGAGTTGCAAAACCAGAACACCTCATATAGCAGGGGAATAAATTATGTTAGGGCAGTGGTCCCCAAACTTTTTCAGTCACCCCTGCCCCCTGTTACCCAGTCTGCCCACCCGCCCTCCCCCATGGTTGGGGCTGGGGCCGGGAGCGGAGCTGGAGCCGCGGGTCGGGGGCTGCGGTTGAGGGCAGAGTCATAGTTGAGCTGGGGGGCGCTCCCTCCCCACCTGCTGTGGGGGGTGCCCCAGACCCTGCTGCACCCCCTGAACATTCCTCTGTGCCCCCCCAAGGGTTGCAACCTACACTTTGGGGACCCCTGCTTTAGGGGAGTAATTTCTTCCTGACCCATCTTAATCAGGGATCATTCTATGCCCAAAAGAATGTGAAATGGGACATTTGGCGTGGGGGAAGAGGGGAGATTTGATAAGCCTGAAACTGCCATTTTTAAAAAATGGAAAGAGACTCAAGAAAATGAGGAGGGTAATGGGGAGAAAGATGAGATTAAAAAATAGCCATCAGTTGGATTCTTAGAAATATTTCTGCCTCGAGAGAGATTTAAATCCCAAAGCTACTTAAAACAGATTGAAACAAGATGCGAATAGTCTAGTCTGGACCACAATAGATTCATTTTGGAGGGCACCCTTAGAATTTGGGAAGTTGGGAGTGAGCCCTCCCCTCCCCTCCCCTCTCCCATCTCAAGTGACTGCATATTCTCTGCACAGCTAGTATATGTTAGGTACTCTGCTGGTCCCCTTCCACGGAGGAAGGAAATCTGTAGATTTATTGGAATCAGATGGATTGACCTAAGGGCTTGCAGTACCCTCTAGTGACAAAACTAGAGAACTGTTGAGTCTGTTTTCCCATCTGTCTCTCTAAAGAGGCAATTTAAGTGATAGAGACCCCATATTTCTAACCTTTGACTCTAGCTGTTGTAAAATAGTTCTCCCACCACCCTGTCACTCCCACATGTTATGTCAAAATGAGGCTGTTACCTTTCTAGGGCATGAGCTGTGTCTTCTTATCAGTACTGTAAGTCAGTGGTTCTCAACCACGGGCAAATGTACCCTGGGGGTACTCAGAGGTTTCCAGGGGGTACATCAACTTATCAAGATATTTGCCTAGTTTTACAATAGGGTACATAAAAAGCACTAGCAAAGTCAGTGCAAACTAAAATTTCATACAGACAATGACTTGTTTATACTGCTCTATAGACTATACACTGAAATGTAAGTACAAGATTTATATTCCAATTAATTTATTTTATAATTATATGGTAAAAATGAGAACATAAGCAATTTTTCAGTAATAGTGTGGCTGTGACACTTCTGTATTTTTATGTCTGATTTTGTAAGCAAGTAATTTTTAAGTGAATTGAAACTTAGGGGTACGCAAGATGAATCTGACTCCTGAAAGGGGTACAGTAGTCTGGAAAGGTTGAGAACCACTGCTGTAAGTCACCTACCACAATTTGGGGTAGTATATGAATAATGAGATGGTAAAAAGAAAACTCACCCGAAGTTTATACTTAGTATCAATTTATAAAGTAAATGCAGCAAAAATCTTAGAAATCTAAAGTCAACAGTGAACTTGGTGATCATGTGGGCGGCCTACATTTTGAGTTGGGGGGGGAGGAGGAGATGAGTAGGGCAGTCACCCTGGATACAAACTTCCAAGTAGCGTTGTGCTGCTGGGCTTTTTTTACCTCTGCTATGATTGGCTGGCCTTTTTTGGGCAGGCTGGGAGTGGGTGGCAAAATAGCTAGGGTCACTTCTGCATGTGGGTCTCTTATTTAGGCTTATACAAATACTAAAGAGGTGCTGGTTCAAAAGTGTAGGTGACCTGACACCACAACAATGGGTGCAAGTGGATCTAAGAGAGTCTGAATATAAGGGTGGAGGAGGGATATAACTTAAGCATTGCCTTAGAATTTGGATCACAGTCTCTGCCCCAAGATGCTTATAGTCAAAGAGCTTGATCTTGCAACCTTCTCTAATCAATGTAGCTACTCCCTGAGTAAGGTTCAGGCCCCAAGGTAACACTTGAGAAGTGGGGACTAGGGGGAAAGAGGAGAACAAGGTTTACATTAATAAGATCATGTGGTTTCTTTGTTAGTAACATGCTGCTTGAGGGTTTAATAAAACTTCTTAGGCATGGATGTGGAGTGGCATTCGTGCTTCAAGAAAATGTGAGGCACTTCTTACTACTCAGATAACTTTGGGACTGGCTTCATTTTAAAACTCCAAGCTTGGCTCAATGTAGGCCTAAGTGAGGAATGCTGCAGTGCTATGTTTGAGGCGGCAGGGGAAGGTTGGAATACAACAGAGGTGCTTTGAATGCAGTTATCCAAAGCTTCATACTTTGAATTAGATGCATATATTTTTTTTAAAGATTCATGCAAGCATGTATTAACCCTTTGGGCTTACCTGTGCACACATCCTCTAAAGCAAGGATCTCAAACTGGGGGTCGGGACCCCTCTGGGGGTCGCAAGGTTATTACATGGGGGGGTCGGGAGCTGTCAGCCTCCATCCTAAACCCCGCTTTGCCTCCAGCATTTATAATGGTGTTAAATATATAGAAAAGTGTTTTTAATTTATAAGGGGGGGGGTCGCATTCAGTGGCTAGCTATGTGAAAGGGGTCACCAGTACAAAAGTTTGAGAACCACTGCTCTAAAGTCACTATTAATTATATTTAACTGTAGAGACACATGACATCATATAAATACATAGAAAGACCAGATTCCCATTGCTTGTGTTGATCACTATCTGAGAGAAACTGTCCTGGCCTCTAACAGTCTATGTGGCTCAGGCTCAGTCAATAGTAAGAGAAGACAGCAAAGAAGGGACAGAAGTAAGCTTTGTGGCAGGGCTTGAAAAATCTTACTGGCTGTTTACATTCCAGAAGACTATACCAGAATTAGATACAGCCAGAGTTAAATACAAAGCGTGTGGGTTGTAGAGATCTCACCAGTGAAGACTGGGGGTAATGCCCTGATCAGAAGCCTGGCCACCACTTACTGGGATTTCTGCTAGGGTGATGTTCCAGTTTATACTGCTTGAGAACTCCATTTTTAATAAAAGTGTTACCCCTGGATCTTGAGCAGCCTCCCCCACCAGCATCTTCTATGTTGAACAAAATACATCTAGTGTAGCTATCCGCTGCCTAAGGGAGATGGGATAACTTTACAAGTATGTATTAAAGGGTACAGACATCAGGGAGGAGTGGGAAAGAAGGAAACTGTTGAGGGTGGTGGCCAAGGGATGATTAGGAGTAATGGGATGAAACTCAGAACATGACTATTTAGGCTAGATATCCCACTTAACTGTGGGATTATTACACCCCAGATTTGTGTCTCAAGAAAAGTTTTGGAAGGCCCATCACTCTGGACATTTGAAACTAGAGTGAGTAAAGCACTGCAGAACGTATTGTAGGGACTAAGGCTGCACTGCTCAGGTGGACAAGCTGACCCAGTAGCCTTTTTTCATCTCTAACTCTTTGGAAGTGTCCCAAGCAAGCAGTGACCAGGTCTGGCCTTTCTTGCCTTCTGTGAGCTGAGAAGTCCATATTTCAGGCTGTCATGCTTACAGACCAGGAAACAGAGCTCATTTCTCTAGTCATTATAAAGCTTTATCACCTTTTGTTTCTGGAGTCTGCCTTTTTTTTTTGGGTGTCTCCTGATTTCACAGTTAGAAAGTGAGATGGTTCCCCCTTCTCCTCCCCCTCCCCCCAAGAGGGGTGAATGTGGGTCTAAAACAAGCAATATAATGAGGGAGAGTTGAAAGTTGTGTGCTGAAAGTTTTTTATAAAAATCTTTTTTTTTTTTTTTTAACCTTTTTATTACAGGTAAAATGAACCCAAACTCTCCCACAGGGGATAAAACCAAACAGTCAGCCTGTGTGATGTCTTGATCTGGAAGGAATGTCAGGAGAATTGAAGACCCCAAAAGAGCATTTGATGGAACGTATGACTTCTTACCCATTTAAAACCTGCAGACTTCTTCTCACACAAATGGTCTTTCAAACCATTGTAATGTCCGGGATGCAGCTTGCACCTCCAGTGAAAGCACACGTGTTGCACAAAGCATAAAAATGTGGGTGCTTCCTATATAAGGATTAGTGGTGAAAGTGTTAATGTCAATATTTAACTGTGATAATTGAAACTCGGAGCTAAACCCGCATTGAGATGAATGCAGGGGAGCTTTCCACTTCTTAATGCAGCTATTTCAATCTATCTAGCTAC